GTTAAATCACAAACTAAACGCACCATAGTCATATAGCGCTTTCTCTTTGTTTGCAATCATATTGTACGGATATTTTATCTACAATATATAGCCGTATATTTCATGTACACAATAAAAAACCGTATACACTCCGCAGACAAAGAATATTTACAACTCGAAAAGAAAGAGTCTTTATTTTTTATTCACGACCATGTGGCCCCATTTCAGCTTCAAAATGAGAAAAATATGCGAACTTATGAAAAATGGGAAAAATATTCTCTCAAGATTTAAATCTATTTCAAAGACAATTTGCGATTTTTACGTATCATTGAATGATTGCAAAATTCACTATTATTACAGAGAAACAGAAACTGTTAAAACGTGTATAGTATTTAAGCGGTTTTTTTTTTCATGTTACTCTGTGGATTCCATTCTAATTATTGAAATTTTGTATTTACAAATAAACCTGTTTTGTTTACCTAACAGATAATTAACCTACGACTTTTTTCATTAATCAATGCAACCCGTATCACCAAAAATGTATTGCAACATGTCGTATGTATACTGCAGGTTAAAATGTAAACAAGTTCTTAATGAAACGCGTTGTTTTATTCATATTACACTTGTGCTCGAGTGACCCAATTGTATTGTATGTAAACATATGCAACATTCCACAAATCAAAGAAGAGAGAAAATGCAATACACCAATGAAATATATGATGTAATTTAACTTTATTTCTTTTTCTATCGTGTGTCTATATATTATTGCTTTATAGAAGAAGAAATAAAAATAAGAATTGTAAAATTAAAAAACTTTTGAGGAAATTTAATCAAAGTAAAAAAATAATTACTTTAAAAAATATCAATTTTGTCAAGGATTAATTTACAGAGTTAGTAAACAAAATAAATTTATGTTCAAGAGCATATTGTCAAAACGGAATTCAATTCAAAATAATACAAACATAATAAAAAAAGAAACACAAATTTTTTAATATAGTAATTTCTCAGCACGTTTTAATTTAGCGACTGATTAGCTTTTCAAGTGTATTAAAGAAAATTGTTTGCGATAAAAAGCTAATTATGTAAATTCGTCTCATTTATCGTTTTCATTATCGCTCGCACGTGTTAAATCTCTCGTGCAAATCTTTTAAATAGGAAAGAACGCGCAAAACGCTAGTAATAATGATGAAATTACACACTGATCTGCATGATTCGCAGTCTGGAAAAGAAGAATAGTTTGTTGAATTTTTTTGGTGCACACTAGATTTTAATTTATAAAAATGATCTGATAATATCAGGTTTTAAAGAAAAATGGGATTGAAAATCCTTGAAAATATTCAGTTTTCACCATTTTTAAAAAATGGTAAATGATAAACTCAAATGTGCTACAAACTTCCAAAAAAAAATTCAAATTATTAAAGTTTGAGTATTGTGTTTTAAAATGAAAATGCTTGCATCTTTATCGCAAGCATCATTGAATTTCAAACGTGCTTTGTTTTTAGAAATCAGTATGATAAAGTAGGATTACTCCATTAACTCATAGTGAAGCCATTGCTGATATTCTAATTTCTTCAACAAGTGAAATGATAATAAAATATCTAATAATAAGTTTTATAATACATGAAACTCATATAATTTTTTTCTATAAAATAGAAATGTCTCAATAAATTGCTTTTATCATTGTTTGAATAATAATAATCTAAATAAAAAAAAACAGATTTTTTTTACAATTCTGATTTAATTCCATGTATTAAATCCACACTCGACACTTTTTACTATCGTTCAACGATTTCGCAGTGTGCTTGAATAGAGCAATCGTCCTACTGCGTGTCTCTGTGCGTGCCTAAAAGCAAAAAGCATGCTAGAAGTTCGATGATGCCTATGGTAAAAGATTTCAACATTTTAATTTTTTTTTCAAAACACAATCAAGTTTTAATTTGAATTCTTCTCGAAATTTCCAGAATATCGGATTTTTAACAAAAAATTTTTTTAAATAGCTTAAAACGCATTTTTAAGGTTAAACATTATTTTTCTCCAAAAGCTGAAACGAAAACATTTAAAACATCTTCATTTGCAAATCGGCATTCACCGCACAAAAAACTTTAATAAAAACTATTCTTCTTTTAAAAAAAAAATTAAAATAGGTTTATGACATTTATCTTTGTATATAATTATATTACTCTTATATAAATTTCTTAGAAATTCATAGAATCTGTAAAAAATATCATATCCACGTCAAAATTTTATTAAATATATTGTGTCAAATTAAATAAAATATAATATTGACAATATTGTGAAAATCTGTACTAACACTAACTAAAATTTTGATTAAATTATTATATATTCATCGTATGTATGTACATTAAATATTTTACTTTGTATGTAAAAACTATTTAATAACTAACATAAAATTTCCCTTTTAAATTAATTAATTTGTACAGAGATTAAAAATATCACACTCAGCGTTTTTCCTGCCCCACTCTTTTAATACTCAACTTACTTTAAATATTTATTTTAATAATTGACTTTATGTTTAAATGCAACAACACATGAAGCTCATGTATATAGTAATTTTAATTCATTTAAAACATCCTCTATTTTGACGCATGTTTTTTAACAGTGGATAATGCATTCTCTGCAGCAGAGCTTTATAAATATCACATACATACATTTGTGTAATATGTCAGCTCCCCTTCTGAGAGACGGTAACACACTTCCGCGTACCATCCGCCCGGAAAGTGTTAATCAAATTGTTGCAATCTGCGAGTGCACGCAGATAGCTATATCTAGCTCACGTAAGCAGCTTCCGCGCGAAGTTTTCGAACTCATTTATATGTATGCACACGAGAGAAAATGTGGCGGAGTTCCAATCTGCCAACAGAGATGCGTTCCGGATCAACGATTTTCGATAAAGCGTCCCATTTATAAAATCGCTGAACTACGCGTCGATTTCAGCGATTTTTTTTTATATAACGACAAAACGTCAGTTACCTGCAGTTATTCACAGAAAATAAAAAACAATAAAATAGATAGAGTACAAAATGCTAACTCAATTTTTGTATGAAAAAAGACATCTTTCCTTATTCCCTTTGCTGTGCCTGTTATAGCCTATCTTTATTATAACGTGTGACTGACATATTATAAAAGTGGAAATCACAAATTTGCAAATGCTATTAATGGAACTAATTAAAATACAGAGAATCTAATTGGTAAAGTTGTCAAAAAATATCGATCAAAGTATTTACATCTAAATGTCGCTTTGGCCAAAACTTAACGTATTAAAACCAATGAATAATTTTAATAGCAAGTTTAAATTTTGCTCTGTTGGTTTAAAAAAAAATCTATATAATTTTACTTTTAATTGAAAACACAGCGTTAAGATTGGAAATTTTAATTAAAAAGAGAGACATTGACGCGTTTTAATTTTCATTAAAAAGTCCGCTTTATACAAAAGAATCCGTGAATAGCTATGTACTAGTGGGTTTCTCTATTTAAAAGTAATCTACACTTTGATATTCACCCATGCGCTTATTCATGATTCATTCCCATTATGAATCATTTGCTATTCATGTCATCTTCGACGCGCTGATGATTTTCCAAAATCGCCGAAACAACTCGCTGACAACTGGTGCGCGCGTTCTCAATTTACAGAATCAAATAATCCGAAAATACGTAGAAAATGATTTATCATAATGCGCACACTCAATGCTCATATATAATCGCGCTTTATTGTATTGCTGACTAAATCGAAATTTGGAATGTACGCGGAACGTGCATTAAAAGCGGCGTCGCTTTCACACGTCGGACAGCCGCATTGAATTGCAAATGCTTTTTTTTCCTCTCCTCCCGCCACGTCATTTATTGCTCTTTTTTAATCTCTCCGCCGTTTCGCACCTACACGAACCCTACTCGCCCCCTATTCGCGATAGTCGCGACGTTAGATCGATGGAACAAGCTGCGGTCGGATGTCATCATGAATTCTGATGTTACCGCAAATTCATCGATCACCATCATTCATCTTCCGAATAAATTATTTGTTTTGTCACGCAGGTTGGAAACTAATTAATACTTGTGTTCGATTTTTCCGTACCGTGAATATGTTAATCGCAAATTATTCTGACAACAGAAGATAGTTGCTGTTTTGTTGTAGATGTATGTGAAGTAGAATTTATATACTAATAAAATAGAGAAGAGAGGCACATTATTTTAAGAAACACAAATAAAGTTCGAAGAGATTTGTTAGTACTTTTAACAAAAACTTTTGACACGAAATATGTCACATGTAACTGTTTGAGAAACATTGATGTACAAGAATGGCGATTCGTATTAGAGACAGTTATATACACACTGAATGTAAATATGAAAATTAATCTTCTAAAATGTATGCATATCGGAAACCGTAACCACATTGAGGAAGCGGTCAACTGCTATAAAAGCTTGGAAACCGTTTTATGAAAACAGTAGGTAGTAGACCCTCGATAAATATGAGTCTGTGTATGCCTCGAGACTTATGTGAAAAAATGTGACTATGAATATAACAGCATACTATCACCTGAACACATTTAATTCACAAAATACACATTCTGCGCTGGTAAGAGATTATTTAATTTTGCCTTCGATCGAATTTTGTATAACACGATTAAATAAATGTAATGGTAAAATTGTGCTGCAAGCGAGACATCTAACAATAAATTGCATTAATTCTCAGGCAATAAAATCGCCGAAAGATAATATTATAAAAAATGCTCGAGTCCGCTTAAGTTTTAATTCAAAATTATTGCTACACGGTCTCTCCTCTCGAGGAATGTGAGTTTCGTATTTAGGAAAGGGTCATGCGCTAACGCGCCGCCGTCGCGTGTGTGAAAGCCGCAACTCTCATTTCTCAAGAGTAATGCCTCAAACCGACTCGCGTTTGTTGATATCTCGCTGGAGATGTATTTCGCGACTGCTACTCCTTTCGCCGCCCCGCGAACAAAGTTGTAAGTGGCTCTTTCTCTTTGATGTCGTAACTTCTGACTTACCCTCCACGAAGAGGAAGTATCCCTCGGGATTGTTCGCCAGTATCCGAAGCGCCTTAATCGCCATCTCGGCCAGAGAAGGATCGCCGGTGTCGTTCGTGTTCCGGTCGACGTCGAAGTCCATGTGAGAATAGGCGAAGAGACCTGCGGCAAAGAAAATAAGTCACGACAAGTATCCGGATCGTGTTACACGGAAAACAAACTCAGAACCTTATGGGCACATATGAGGAAACGCGCGGAATATAAAATTCGAAATATCGTACAAAATATATAAAATGTTAAAAACAAAAAAAAACTAGAGAGAAGATCATTATAACGGCAAAAGCATAAGATCTACAATGGATTATTTTAAGACAAATTTAAAAAAATGAAAATACCTAATTTAAATGATCATCTATAAATCAATGACCGAAACATTTGTTTTATATTATATAACATAATAATTAATATTTCATTACTTTTTGCGATTTCCATACTTCATCGCTTATTCATGATAATTTATACTTTGTCTTTTATAATTTACAATATTAAAATTTATTTTGGATATTATAAACGCTTTTAACTACGTTATCATGCTTTCACATTATTTCAAATTATTGCTGGTTAGCATTAATTGATTGTACATAACGTAACAGTAACTCGAAATTTCGCTCCATTGATCAATAGTTAACACTCTATCTTATTAGCTAGATACACAGAGAAATCATCAATAGCAATCGATAGGCACAATGTAATCTCATATTCCAAATGCTGAATGTCTAATAATTAATACACTGATTACGGGAGTGACAACAGCGTGCAATTAATACAATACAGCGACTAATCGCATTACGCTCAGATCTAAAGCGCCGAATGGTCGATGAAATTAAATTCTTGTAAGTCATTGCGACACTCGTGCGCATTGAATTCTGTGAATTCAAAGTCCATAATTCGATACATGCATATTTTAATGCGAATTAAACCATTAACAAATAATTATACTGTGTATCAGCCGTTGCTATGATATTAGTAAAGCAGATATTGAATGTTACTACATGTGTTTTTATTTTAGTACAAAAATGTCAAAATATCATATATGATCAAAAGTCTAAATAAATTTAATCATTTAATCTATTAACTGAATAATTAAATAATAAAAAAATTAAAATCAAAAAGTAGAAAAAAGGATAGATACATGTTTAAAACATTCAATATTTTAATTTTTTAAATCTTAATAGTTCAAGTTTTATAATAAATTTTATAATTAAATTTACAAAATTTTTAGAATAAAATACTACGTTAGAATACATGAATGAAGAATTTATAACTTTGTATGAATTCTTTCAACTATTTTTATATAGAATTTCAAAAGACAATCAAATGTAAAATAATTTTTCTACGAATTAAAAAGAAAGCATTATAGTATAGTACTGCATAATTAACTTGTGAAACATAAACCCAAATTCAGAATAAGCTAATACAGCATGTTCCAACATAATTAAATTCCAACATGATTAGCTCACCATGCATATATAACTTTGTTAGGATATTCTGAATAGAAATTATGGTGTTTACAAGATCAAGCCGGGCAATCAAGATCATCCAATAAATGGTAAGACATAATTTTCCAAAATATGAATAATCTCAATAATTATTATAAGATAATTATTATAAAATACTTAATAATTATAATATTTATTTAATAATGAATAAAAAGCGTTTGAAATATTTAAAAGAAAACACAACTGTGTTAAATACATCATTTAAATTCATTACATGGCCCATTTATTCAATAGTCTTAATTACTTTAATCTTATAATAATTAATAACTGATAATAATGTTTATGTAATGTTATAATGGCCGACAAAGCAAAGTCACTAAATCTTACATTAGAGAGATATAAACGTATTAAAACTTGTTATTACATATATTAATTACCTAATAATCGGTTCACTCTTCGTGTGTCCACCTTTTCAAATTGCTCTTTATTAGCGACATATTTCGCGGCTATATTTCTTTTACGATGATTCCTGGACCACTCTTCAATAAGGTTTCGACCGTCCAATCGCCTGCCTTCTTTATCCGGCTCTTCGGGATCCAAAGTCACCTTCGGTACAAAGTGGCGTCTGCCACCACCAAGTATCACCTATATCGATTTATTAAAATGAAAAATAACGTAATTTTATATAGTTTTTATACATAGTTCTCTCATTTTTTAAAAGATTCGATAAAAAATTTCAGAGCACATTAATTTTGCGGTTTCTCGCTTTGTTTAATAAGATATTCTCCATCGAATCGAGAGGATTTAAATTTATCAGAAACGCCATACTCCTTGATCTCTAATTCCACCTATCCGTGACGAGACACGCGGAACCGACTTTAATGAGAAAGAAAGTTTCGCCTCAACTTTCCCGGGAAACAGCGCACCAATGAAATCGCCCGCGGAGTTCTTTGCTTCATTCGGACTTCGAAGCAAAGACTCTTTTTTTCGAAAAATAGCACATCACAAGTTATTCCAAAAGGCAAAGATCACTAATTAATCCTGTCGCGCTTCGTTTTTTGATTACAATGCATTTTTTCTTCGTAATTGGTTTTAATATGCAAACGTTTGGTCATTCGATATTTTATTTAAAATACGGAATGCACGTCTTTCCAGTTCCAATCGGTCTAAATTTTTTCTATTTCTTGATCAAAAAAATTTCACAAGAAAATATCTTCAGATTGTAAAAAGTTTAGATTTTTCTCCTACATAAATAATACATTTAGTTCGGACTAGCAATCTATTCTCCGTTCGTTTCGCTGGTTTGATTGGGAGAGAAATGTACGAAACAAAGCGTCACGTGATAAAAGACGTGAATAAACTGCGAGACATATGTTTTATGTCTACCGATACAAGATAGAAGGCGCAATAAAGCGTGATAAAGGAGACGAACGAGCCCCCGATACGAGTTTTATGTCCACTCGATGCAGGAACGAATCATAACTGTGAAAACCTCTATACGTCATCTGGCGAATGTAATCGTATCGGACAGGCTTTACATCTTCGACCGTCGCACCTTTCAACTTGTCGCGGAACGGGCAACAGAATACCTAAACACTTTTTTTTTAAATTTTATCGCAATGCAGCGAAAGTACATTCGCGCGAGAGAAATGCACTTATTCAAGCGAATAAAATCCCGTCGTCCAATTTCATTAAAAAGATTCATTTATCGAAATTTTATCACTTGCAGTAGTTGCAGTTTGCGCGAAAGGTTCAAAGTAAAATGATATCCGTGAAATTTGGTATTATTTGAAATATCGAGATACTCATAGTTCTTTGTAGAATAATGCTAAAAAATGATTTTTATGACTTAATTTGCAGATTCGATTGCAGATTGCAATCGAAAGCACGACGTGCAGAAATAAAAGATAATAAAATTCATCTCTTTTGCTTCTCGAACAGCGAAACTTGCTAACTACACCCGGCGGAAATATAGTCATTGAACTTACATAAGGTGTAAAAAGTATCGAATATTCTCCCCGCACATGAACGCCAGGATATTATTACGTACAGTGATGTTACAGCCGGGCTCGTCCTCGAGCAGCTGACGCGCGATGTCTTTGCAAGAGGTACGTGCAGCAGGTGGTACTTTGCCGTCGTCCTCCCAGTAACGGCTGGCCGCGTGTGCATAAAGAGCCGCCGGTGTCGCGTGTGTAACCCTGGTGGTTGTAACCAGTCCCGTCGATTTGCCTGCGATCGGGAAAATCGTATTATTGCCTTTTTCGCGGTGAATTTTTCCCTTTTTCTTCCCCTCTCTCCCTCCCTCTTTTTCTCTATCTCTTTGTACCTCGATCTCTATCTATTTCTCTCTCTCTCTCTCTCTCTCTCTCTCTCTCCCCTTGTTCTCCACTGGCGAAGTTTCCGGCGCGTACGTGCTTTCGTAAATCACCCCTTCGGATCCTCGCGGTCGTTCGTATCCGCGTCCGACTTTATCGCGTTTAAGCGGGCCAAGCGTGCAACGTCACTGACGTAGACCCGGAAGACAAATTCCCCGAGTAGCGACCCCCGAGGCGAATCAGTACGATTTATACTTCATTGGGGGCGAAGTGGATTTTAGAATGTCGAACTGAACCGCGGGGGTAGGAGCCGTACGGGGATTATTATCCGACGGAGGTCGGCCGATGTATTATTCAGGGGAATCTCGAATCGACTCGTATCGTATCTAGCCGCGATGCGGTTACACTAAACTACTCGCTCTCAGGTGTAAATACTCGATGAAGACCTGAATCTTTCAAAATCCTGGGATTAATTTCTCTTCCGACAAGCATTCAATGTCCTATTGCGATTATACGCTTTCGAGTACAATAAAAAATTTCCAAATACTTAAAACTACTCTCATCGTTTCCCACGGCTGAAGATAAATCCTTTCAACATTTAAATTCGCGCTTACACAATATTTCAAATATAACTTCATTTTCAGAAAACAAAGGTATGACTGAACATAAAATTAATTACAAGGCAGGTATTTTTAATTATTCTCCTGACATTCATAAAGATTCATATCTAAATAAAAGTATAAGATAAAGTATAGATAAAGTTTCATATCTATATCATATATAAATATACAATAATTGATCCATTTAATGGTTGAAGTAGCAATGTTACGGAAGCTTAGCCACGATCAGAGTTGTAATGCGCCGCTCCACTCAGAGATCGCATTTTAATTACTCGAGTATTCGTAATAATCTTGGCAGCCGCCTCGGAGGTTTCGCTTAGCGCGGACGGGCTAAGGAATTAAGTTGGCACGCAGAGCTTGTGCAACGTGTGCACACAGTTCTCTCTCTCTCTCTCTCTCTCTCTCTCTCTCTCTCTCTCTCTCTCTCTCTCTCTCTCTACCGGGGTCAGTAATTACGGGAGTGGTTCTAGCGCGGGTGGTTCGATGCTAATCGACCCGAGTGTGTCGATGCGTGGTCCTTCATTAAAGATTCGCCAGGGGAACCCTTTGATCTCGATATCTCTACTACTCAAAATTATCACTGCATGATCCGGTTTAATTCATGACTTTACTTTTCGGCTAGTGAGCAAAATTGTCGATACTACTAATTCGAAAGATTTGATTTGAAAACTTTATGCTGCATGCATTACGAAATAATTTGAAGGAAAACGAAGTCAATTGCATTTCGAATAAAAATGAATTGATATAACTATGGCATATATGAATCATTATATTCAATGTATAAATCATTACGAACATATGAATATTAAGATGTAAACTTGGTTCGAGCTGGTATAACATATGGCATACATAAATCGCATTATTGAATGTATAAATCATTATGAATACGAATATTAAGATGTAAATTTGGTTCGCAAAGAGCATGTATTATGAATTCCACACAATCGAAAAAGAATATTAAAACTGTAATGTTACAAGCTAATAGCATAAAAATTTAATGATTGTTAACTTAATGATTGAGCGTATTATAGAAGCATTATAAATTGCATTATATATATATATATATATATATATATATATAAAGATCATGATAAAACTTTTACAAGAGTTATTTGCCTTTCTTTTCAGATCCTTCAAATAATTGGAATCCCGTAAGGAAAGTTTAGAAAATCTTGTTACAAAAACATCGAAGTCATTAAAGAGATATTTAATTATATATCTTGTTTCGGAAATTAAATTATTTTGGCAAGCAAAAGCTTCTCTCTAGTAACGTGAGTATACGATAGAACTTTGTTTCTTCGTTAACTTCAAGTGACTTCGCTTTAAGAGGAATTTAATTTGAGGCTTAGCTGTCGAGTTATCTGAAGTTTCAAATTAAAAAGTTGTAAAAACAGCTGGTGTACCGGCCAAAAATTTTTGCCGGTAGAGGAAGTTCTCAAAATCGTTTCCGAATACTCCCATTCCCGCGGAACATGGGAAACGGCCCGAACGGCCCATTCTTAACGCCAAAATGGCGAAAAAATTCAGCCAACGCTACTTGGTCCTTCTTTTTTATGCGTGCCCATAAATTTCGCCGAAAGGGAACGAGGTGGCCTACATCAAGATGTTCTCGGGTCGGCGGACGCGCGAACGTAAATATTCCTGCGGGATCGTCCGCCGGATCCACCGCGGTCGTATCCAATTCGTTCCCCGCTTCCCGATGGGCGAAACGATGGTGAGATTTCGTAGGTCGCGCACGACCCGCGTTTCAAGATGATAATTCAAGGAGTTCCGGGGCGCCGGATGAGAACTGGTGGAATCTCGATTCGCCCCTCGAGATGCGCGTAAATGGACCGTAGTAAGTCGCGCTCGAGGACAGAGGCGCGGAGCCTCTCCTATTCCAACCCGCAACTTATCCCTTTCGCCAGCAAAGTTGCTTTAATGCGCGAGCTCCTTAGCGAAATCGAGATATCGGGAAATGACGTTTCAAATCTCCGGGTTTACATCTAGCAGGATATTGACACTTCTATCGATCCGCCATGGAATATTGGATATTGATCGGAGATGATACTTTATTTTATTTCAAAGTATCGGTATACTTAATGGTATTGATATCACATGCAGTCGCGATATAAGCGCAAGAATTATTTCTGTTGTAGTAAATTAATAGAGAAAATATCGATACATATAATAAATTAACATTACAAGAAGAACAATGAAAAAACATGGAAAATATATAAATACTTCAAAATTCTGATGTAATATATTATATCGGAGTCGCGATGAGCACAAGAAATATCTCTGTTGTAGTAAATTGATAGAGAAAATATTGATATACGTATAATGAAAATATATCACGAGAGGATTAAAATAAAATGTATAAGAGAAGAGAATATATACATCAAAATTATACTTTAATTCCGTATTTCTTATACTCTCATCTATTCTAATTCCCTCCCTATTTCTTTTCGTTCCTTCAACGTTTATTTTATTATTTCACGTTTCTCGCCTTATTGCACGAGAACGACGATTATTCTTCGAGTGATAGATAACCCGTACCGTTCGCTCTCAATTAACGCCTTTATTATCTTCACTATCTCGCCATCGTTTTTCCGCTCTCTCTCTCTCTCCTCTGTTTTCAATTCCCCTATTTCCCGGCTCATTCGACGTCGAATTTCTATCGGCGCCGTGCATCACCTCACGTCGGCAGCGTCGCGCTAAAGAACGTGACAAACCGCCGACGAGAGGGCCAAAAAGCCGCGGCGCGGCCGCGCGGAAAGCCAGGGGGTGTCAACGGCAAACGGCGCGCAATTAATCAGCTGGGCCATTCATCTTAATGATCGCGCCAAAGCAAGCTCGTCCTTTCATGCCCGCGTGTACATACAGCACGCCGGTGGCGCGCGTGTCAGCAACGCGTACACTCGCATACATATTGCCCGCGGGATCGCGCCGCGTCCGCCGCGCCGGCCGGTTCTGGCAACGTGTCAACTGCTCAAAAACACAATGCCGCTGTTTGTTACCGTGAAGGAGGATACGGGCACGGAAAACGATACGCGCGGTCGCCCGGTCCTGTCGTCATATATCGCAATATCCGCGCAATGTCCCAGTAAGGAAGAAATCCTCTTAATTGGCCGCGACCTGTAAAATCCTCGAACGCCGCGGCGACACAGTACATCTCCGTAATTGACAGAAAGATCGGTTAATTGAGATCTCTCAATTAACCATTTCTCACCCGTCAACAAAACGAGTTCGAGCTTGCGAGTGAAAAGTGCATCCACCTGCGAGAGCTAAGGATGAAAGTATAAAGGTGGCGAACGCTCGCGCGCGTCAGATAACGAGATGCGCGTCGCTGGAGATCGTAATATACTTCGCGCGGATATATACCGCGCGTTACAGCATGTACATATTCCGACGGGTGTTTATTATTTATTCGCAACGCGCGTTCGAGATATTCGCGAGCACCTGCGCGCTCCGCTTCCGCGTAAGCAAGAAATTACATCACAAGCGGATTACACACCGCGCGCGGCGCGGTGCGCGCCCGTTCGTTCGCGCGTTAGTTCTTTGCGGCGACCGCGGCCATCGCAAACAAACCGTAAGCGATTACTAATGACCGTCCAGAGAAACGCGGAGTAGAGTATAACGTTAATTCGCCGCCATCGCCAGCAACGCCCACTCATAAACTTACAATTTGGCGGTAGAAGCAATTACAACGGTATCGCCGATAATTACTTCTGCAATGGACACCCGGCGGCAAACCTCCGCTGCGACGTAATATTATGTATATACAGCACACTTGCGTATATATACATATACAGTGTATATGTATACACAGATGCAGGTACTGTCGACAGTTTTGATTTAGCTTTACGGCGCGTTGTTTTAGCAACGATGTAATAAAACGTTATTATAGCTCGCACGATTTATCCGGCACGTAGACAATGTCGTGTAACAACGGTGCCTTTGACGGCGCGGCGCCGGCTAACATCGTCGCGAGAACGTCCCATGCCTTTCTCTAATTGCATTTTCTACTGCCGCCGACAAGACGGGGGAATACCCTTTCGAATACCCGCGCTCGCCTTTGACGCGCGGATTTCCTTACGGCACGATGCGCGTTCCGAATACCCTGGCATCACAGAAACGGACTGATTACGCGAGTGCTTCCCGAGATTATTGTCTTCTATTAGATAATGCGCGTAATTACAACTTGTGAACACAATAGTCGAGATTCCTGTTAAACGTCCTAACGTGGACACGCATTAAACGGTAATTTATATATACATCCTTTAAACAAATACAGATATTCTTTAAGGCTCAAAGCAAGAAGAACTTCTCATATTGTATTACTTTGGTATATAGAGAACGTATTATGAATTCTATTTTAACAATACCTTCGTTCAAAACATATTTTCTTTCATCGACATTTGAAAATTGAAATAATCACAAAAAAATTAATTTTTAATTATCGATTAATTAATTTGCAATTATCGTCTTTCACAAATTATCATTTAATTAATTTCCAATAAATATTATTATTGAAATCATATAAATTCTATTATCATTAAAATTATTCAATATAATTTGGACGAATCATAATAAAATCTTGCGATTTGTTTAAGATATATTTAACACGTCGGTCACGTAATGCAAAATTATCTAACAATTCTGCTTTAAGAATTTCCCACCTTTTAAATCTGTCTCCCAGCAAATATATTAATTAGCGCGTGCCGCGCATATATGCATAAAACCATAAACACCACCCGAGCTTCGAGCTGCGAGGCAGTGAAACTGCGAAAGTTTCGGGTGGCCAGAACGTCCAGAATATTCTCGTATGTACGGCGCGATTTAATAAACAGCACGTGAAATCTTCCATTAGGCAGAATCGTTCTAGCTTGTGCAATTAGCGCCAGCCGTAAATTAGATATCGGCTTCCGGTCAAGCGCCGCGCCAAGAATACGATGTGCGCCGCGTGCTGTGCGGCACGGCATGGCGCGGGGCGCGCGCAAGCGCGAATTCAATTTATACGTGGGCATTTAATCGTGCGCCGTGTTTGGGCAGTTTAATCGTTTTAACGCCCGTCCCCGGCAAATTGGATGTATGCGCAGATTAATTACGTTTGCTCATAATGACGAGATCGCGGGATCGTAAACGCCGCGCGCCGTGGAAATTCGGTGGAAAGTAACGATCCGATTAGAAAGATTAATCTGTCGAGAGTGTATATGTTATAAGTCATTCGACCATTACCCTATCCTTTATGTAAGATTTATCGGTATCGGTTGCACCTTTGCGAACGTGTCTAGATTTTGTTTCTCGCTAGATTAATGCCACTATAATCCTATAAATTCATTGAGAAATCAGCTCTGTACACGGACTCAAGATAACAAATTGAGCAATTTCTACCATAAATATTCCGTTTTCGATTTGTGCAACTATTTAAATATTAATTCCATGCCATATCGTCGTAGCGAGAGCATGATGGAGGCTTACCTTGATCCTGGGCCCAATTAATAAGCGAAGGAACGCGCGCCTCGAAACTGGAGTAACAGTCCTCGAAACGTGCCGATGAATCCAGACCAACAGTCTCGTAATTGGCTTTAACTCCGCAGAGCAGTGCCGTCGCGCATGCCGACGATTCGCCGACTTGGGCATCCATGTTGTACGTCTGGAAACAAGATAACGGAGATTAATTGCGTATTTTCGCGTAATCAAATCGCGATTGATTAACAAATTTGTGATTTGATAAATTTTTATTTCCGTAAAGGAAAACGTGTTCCTCGGTCAATTGTATCTTATATAAAACTAAATTAAAAGCGGTCACTTCATTTCATTTACGGATTCTCCAATCAATTTCCCTTCCGCAAAATTCTGCTGACACAGTAAAAAAATTTAAATAAAACAGTTTTATTTCTGTTCTACATCTCCACGAAACTTAAATTATGAGTACTTTTGGATTTCAATCATTTTCAATCGCAGAAGCAATTTTATATAATTCAGAGACAGAGATATTTTATTATTAACGATTAAATTCAGATGAAAAAAATAGTAATCCAGCTGCTTTGCAATGATCGTTTCATTGTCAAACCATCTCTCCCGTCAATGTCTTATATGACATTAAATTTCCAGAAATAATCCATCTAAATTTAAACAAATTTCAATGTGCTACCAATTATTATTTAGAGTGCTGTTTTTGCTGTTTATCCATATATTAATGTGGCTGTGATTACGTAAATAAAGCATTGCCATACATCAAGTTCTCAGAACGTCAGGAGCCTCGACGGACGAGGAATGATAAGTTTCGAGGTAAAGAGAAATTCCGATGTAAGTGGACGTCGCTTTTATGTGTCATGACTGGCGATTTTCGTTGGGTAACAGGATATGGGTCGAAGTATGTCACCGCTGTCTAGGAACCGCACGTCGCTTTCAGCGCTCTAGGGTAAGCACTGCAACGAGCAAATGGGCATTTCTGTCCATCGGCACACTCGACTCAAATCCGCTCCGAGCTTTGATGAAAACGACAGCTGTGCTCTATTACCGCTAGCGATTCGCGAATAAAAATTGTCAGCGCCGCTTTTCATTCGCCGCAGAAATTAATGAAAACGATCACTCGTCGAATGCAGCACTCGGCCAATATTTTAATAAAAATTTCAATCGATATAGGAGAATTTACGATATATATATATAAAACATAAGATTTCTAATATTTTTTACTTTATAATTAATTTTTCCCACAAAAGTATAGTAATATTATTTTTCTAGATTTTATCGAAGATTATTATTACGATTTTTACATTATTATATATTTTCCTTCGCTGTCACGAATACCGATTATGTGTCGTAATGAAAACGATCCCTTGAAGTTAGATTTAAAAGGTCGATCAGTACGACACGAAAGGTGGTGGCTGGAACAAACTCGTGCGCATAAATCCCCATGGCAATGTTCGAAGGCGGCGCTTTCGCGTAAAGTACCGCTGATATCCGACGGTTTTCTTATTATACTACTAGCCCGTTTTGGGTATCCTTTCGTTTCCCCATAGGGAGTCGATTGATTCGCCCGAACGCGCGTCCCTATTTCAGAACCCGGCCGGCACTACAACACTTCCCGGCTGGCAAGTGCCGATTTCCTTTCGCGCAAGAACACCCATAAAGTACACTCGTCATTATCATACCGAAAAGCCATGCATCGTCAATTCAAATATCGTTATAGATTAACTGCGGGGCCGCACGACACGGTCGATCGCCAAGTGGCGGCAAAGTAGAACGCCCGAAGCTCCGAAATACAACCCGCAATAGTGAGGGACTATACGTCGACTAAACACGAACTCCGATATTCTCGGCATGAAATTGCAAGAGAAGAGGGTCAACTAGGCTGTTGGATAACAAGAGTGAAAACCCAAAATTCTACACACTATATAGATGTACAATATCACGCAAAAAAGGAACAAAATCGCAAGCCAACATATTCTCCTCTTCGAAACGTTTAATTTTTCAACACTAGTATCTCGAAATCGCTCATTTGAGATACTATTAAGAATTTTATTATTAGCAGAAAAAAAAATGTACGGAAATATATAGAGAATACCGTATAATTTACATAATAAAATCCAGAATTAAAAATATAATAATCATAAGAAACATTCTTTCACAACGACTGTCGTGAAAAGTTTAAGATGTACGGAAAAAAAATTACTGTTGCCACAACATAATAATTGTGATAATTTTCGCCCATCAATTTAAAAAGGTTATAGGAACTAAAATACTTTGGATTAAGTGACTTACATAGTTAACTGAACTCTCACAATCAGTCTCAATGTTGCGACGTGCAACTATATCATATATATCTCTCAAGCATACTATTTGTGGTGCAGACCACATTAGAGAGACAACAATAATTCTTCGATTCAGGCAACCACATATATGAAGATATTCTAACCGAATGTTATTTATCCTAAGCATTACGGTTATGAGAACCGTACTGATGAGCATACCTAGCTTAACAGATATATGCCATGTAACATCAATATAACTTAAATTCACATTCATTTCTTTTTCAAACATAGAAAATATAAACTGAATATTGTTGTAATATTCATAGCAATTTTTTTCCGTATAACGTTGGATATATTTATTACGTTTCAGAGAAATTCTCTTTTACTTGTCTACCTGCAACACGTACATCACAAGCATTACATCTCTTCCGGCATTTGCCCAAAGCGACCCCAATTTCAATTTCCACCGCAGTAATATATACTATACGCTATACATTCACGGAATTGGAATCAATTTGTATCCCAAAATGCGCAAAAAGTGTTCGCGATCTGCAGGGAATTGAGGGAAATATCCGAAATCTCTGCAACGTGCAATGTGCAACGACGCGCAGCCATTCAACTGTCCCCGATAGGCACGAAGGTGCTGTAGATTATCGCGTATTATCGGCGATGCTTTTATCGCGGACGGTTTCCTCGACCGGGCACGTCGATAAGATAAATTCGGCGCGCGCGAAGCGTGTCTTTCTGGTTAGGAAGGTGCAGTGAGCGAACGGCAGTGTGAACGGGTAAACGCAAATTGTGGACATCGTTAGGTGGCAACCGGCACCAGGGGCAGCATGCAGGACGACAAGTGCACTCCGCAGCAGGAACAGTGGAGCGTTTCACCGCCGAACAGGTCGCAACGGAGCGTGCCGGACGGATGGCCGTTCAGGAAGGCAAAGTAAGCACCACTTCGTCACGTCGTGACCGATATAAAGCGCAGAGATATGGAGGTACTGCAAGTAATCGACGTGCGACTGACGTGATAGGTGCGCTTTTCAGCGCTTTTCTCAGACTTTTCCCTCTTTCACTCGCTAAAACAAATACTAAGGTCAATTGCTAACTTTATGGCCCTTTTATAATCTTTGTCGCAAACGGAAACTAGTAAAGTGTTGTATTCAAGCATACATGCATAAAAATAAAATCACTAAATGTAGACACCAAAATTTTATGATGATTTTCCTTTTTACAGTTATTTGTTCCTAATAGAAGTCATCGGATGTCCAATAATGTATTGAAAATATATAATTCATTTTGCTTGTATTTAATGATCAACTGCTTTATCTCTAATAAAGAATTCAGGAGATAATTGCTTCTTTATCTGTTTTGCTACAATTATAACATTGATTATAACGCAAATAGAGAATTGTAATTAACTGCAAATTAAACTGTAAATAAAAATGCAAATATTCGAATAAAACAAAATATTGACATTTAAAGATGCATTAAAACTATTTTTTTTATATTTGCATTTGATTGCTTTCATTTTAATTTCAATTGCAAACGTCCTTGATTTTATTTCAATTTATCGTTCATTTAAATATCGCTATGCATTCCTAGTACATGTAACATATGTAACACGTAGCGACATATGCCTGGTAATATTCATTTTTTTAGCTTCCGGTTATTCAAGCAAAAATATCTTTCTGTTCCAAGACCGCCGAAATATTATTCTAACGAAAATTTCACTTTCCTAAGAATTCACCGTCGTTTTCCGTATCTTGAACCAGTTTCAACTGGGCAAGATTGTCTAAGGCGACAAACATTCTGATATCAAGCGCGATTACATGGAATCGAGTTTATCTCATAGAGCGCGATGCGCTTGAGGATTACGTCGCTATCTATATCCGGTGCAGTATTTTTTTTTCTCTCGCGAGGTCCTCTCATGCGAGGTGGAAGCGAGCTCTGACGCGCGTTATGCGCTTATTCTCGCAGCCGCGCATAACGCATGGTTGGTGTAATTGTCGGATACCGACCAAAGAGGAACGGGGTGGCGGGGGCGGGAAGCCGCGACTGAGTAGATTTATATTCATAATAGCGGAGAGTTGGAGGCCGTTAGGCGCAAAATGTTTTAGAGCCCAAAGTAAACGCCGCAGTGTTCGCCGGTAATGCCGGTAACTCACTTCTCCCACGACGAACATTTGTCTCGTAATGGCCACTGGCTCACCACGTTTATGACTAGTTCGTAAACGCCCCGCAGTGGTTTTGTCACATCCGTTCTGTGTTCTCCCCCTACCCTCCAGTCTCTCTCTCTCTCTCTCTCTCTCTCTCTCTCTCTCTCTCTCTCTCTCTCTCTCTCTACCTCGCATCCCTTATATATATTCTGAGTGTTCTTGATGACTACACTGGTGGTTGTACGTATATGCCATTTCCATATATTCATAAGTATATATATCAGCGTATCCATCCATAAGAATCGCTCAAGCGATGACTCTTGTGCTGACTCTTTAATTCTACGGTTTTTCTGCTTCACCATCATGTCATACTTTTTTGAAAGTTACAATTTTCAGGGCGCACGAAATTAATACTATAAATAAAGTTATAACATAATATCATAAAAGTTTAAAATATATATTAATAAATATAATATAAATAATCTTTTTCATGAATATTTTATCGGAAATAAATTAAATTGTATTTTGTACCATTTATAAACACAGAAGTAACTAAATTTTATAAATTTTGAAAAACAAAAAGAGAGACAGAGAGCAGAAAAAGAGATTACTAAATTCTATTTATATATATTTTTTAAATAAACGTGAAATGTGTCGCTACAAAATAAAATATTTCTAGATCATCAACCCAAGGATGAAACGAAAACATTTTAAGGTCGGAAAGCTATGTAGGACAAAACATATATTTAAATAGTAAGATATCAGTGAAATACTAATTTTAAAATAGAAATTCTGTATGTGTGCATACAGATATTCATCATTATACATATGTGCATCAGTTGGCGCAAATAAAACATCGCTAATACAATATATTGCTTTATCACTCTGTGTTTTGATTATACAGTACGCAAAAATCTGATATAATCGCGCTTATATGTAAAAAATATATAATTTTTGTTGTTGTAGAATAAACTGGGTTGCAAGAATAAAGATATTTCCTTAAATAAATCAAAATTGGCACAGGAATCTATAAATAAAAGGCAGTACAAAATTTCTTTAGCTTCCAGATATTGAAAAATATTATAACTTGTAATTTGATTAATCTGTAAATATTTTCACCATTGAGCTATTAAGCTATAGCTATAGTATAGCTTAAGCTATAATATATGATATAAAGTTTTTTTTTTTTTTTACAAAACACAAAATTTCTTATACATAACTTCATTTACTTCTATTTTCAATATACTAGAATTAAATTTAATATGTTTATTCTAAATTATAGCGCAGTGTCTACATGCAATATTTGAGCGTGGCACGGCAAAACTTTTACGAGCACGCAACTAACCACGCGAGGATTAAACGCCTCGAGTTTACGGTCCATTCAGTTCAACGGGGCGCAGATAGTTCTACCACCGCATCCTCGCGCTATTCTGCGCAATAATACCGCCGATTTACTTTCGACCGGCGTAGCCCGGCCCGATCCGGAGCAGTCGTAATCGCAGTAACTCGCGAAAGTTGGATCGCGCGTACGTGCGAGAGCCGCGGAAAGTCCGGGGCAGGAAAGCCGCACGATAAAACGCCGTCGAATCGCGGCGGAAGTTCTCGATTGCGATCTAAGTTGAAATTAAATTGACCACGGTATGATCCCGCCGCGGCGGCTGCCCGGAGAGAGTCGCTCGGCTAAACAGGATATCCGTCTGCGTAAGCGCACGTGAGCGGAAAGTACGAAGTAGTACCGGGCGCACTTTTCCGGGTAAGGTCCTCCTTTGCCGCGTCGTCCGCCGCTCCCGCCTTAAGAAGAGAAATGCCCCGATATTTCCCCTCCCGAAACCCGAGACCGCAAAGAGGCAAAACGTTCCGGAAACGCCCGTTTCTTCTCCCTCTCTATTCGCTCGTCGCTCTCCTCTTTTTCCGTTGCCGCGGACCATCGCCCGGGCCATCTATTTGCGACTGTCCTCAAGTCGGTATTCTAAGACTAGCTACTGCCTAATTACACCAACTGCACAAAGAGACATTGCACTAAATGCTACTGACATTTATTCCGCCCACAACGTCGCGTACTTGTGCATCCTTCCCTCTCTTCTTTCTCTCTCTCTTTCCCTCTTTCTCCCTCTCTATGTCTCTTTGTGTGCAATGCACTCCAGTTAATGCACGCGCTTACACGAATTTCTTCGGTTTCTTTAATACACAAAGATAAAAATTATAAAGAATAACGGAAGCTTCGTATCTTTTCTCAAATAAACGCACACCGAGAATAATCTACATTAATTTGTCTATTGAGAACGAAACTCTGGCCAGCTTTAATCGGATGTTTTTTTTCTGTCTTTATTCTACGTAAAATATTCCACAATTATCGCGCCCGTCTTCTCATCCGCGAGTTCCTTCATTAATGCCGTTGATTTTTGCTTCGCGGGCATCGAGCGCTTTAATTTGCAGTAAAATGTCAAGAAGAGAAAAGCGTTAATATTAATAGAATCTTTTCGTTATAAAACACGTTTTTCTACGAAGAAAATAAAATTTAATTAAGATCCAACCAAGAGATAAATAACTATACCGAGTTCCGCTCATTTCATTCTGCAGCTCCGTTATTAATAGCGGAACTAGCAGAATCATTTGTTTCTCCCGCATCTCGCGTGGCAACGTATAGAAGTAAATTTCTTTATCTACGTCATTTCGTGTGAGATCAAAACCCCGCGAAAAGTTCAAGAACTTTCGCGCTTCAAATTAATACATTTCAAATTAACACCGTGGAACTGTCATTTCTACAACATTAATTAACGGAATATAGGATCCACCGGGAAGTTAAGCTTTAGTTCATCTTCGGAATAACATTACAAACTTTCTATGATAAGATAACGAGAGTGTGATGTTGTAGTCAACACGAACTTATATAATTATAATTTCAAAAGATGTCGACCATTATTATTGAAGCAAAATTTCATCTGTGTTACATTTCGTAATTAAGCCATGAGATATCACAGATACTAACGCATCTGCTTTAATAACATCATACCTTTAATATTCCCTATTAACTCTATTAATATTAAATATCTCTAAATTAATTCGAATAACTTTTCAACTTTTGTGATATTTTAAGCAGGGACATGGTCGACGCTCAAAAAGCCGCGAAAATCAATTTCGACGTGTTCGCCGAGGAATACAATATGAGGCATAAAAGAAGAGGAGTGGCGCTTATACTGAACCACGTTCACTTCGAGGAAATGGCCACGAGAAAGGGCTCGGAAAAGGACACCTTGAACCTCAAGACGTCATTAAACAAGCTCGGGTTCGACGTGCGAGTTTTCACCGATCCGACGGTCAAAACCATAACCACGGTCCTCCAGTCGAGTAAGTGTTGCATTTCCGTAACCCGGTTACTCTCTCGCCTCCGTACTTTTGTTACGTATAATCACTTGTCTCAATGGCAGATCAAACGAATAGATGACGGAGGCTCTTGTGAGTCTCGTTGGGATAATGAACGCAAATCCGGCTTTCGTTCGAAAAAAATAGCGAAAATGGAGAGACGATATCATTATTTCTGTCCACTCGCAATATTGCCGGCTGACGCAACCACATCGTTAGCTCTGTGTACCGTCGTTTCTTATCTCTCTACAATGAGCGCACTTCCGTTCCGTTTCTCATCGTGACAAAGCGATAGAGTTTTCTCAAGATGGAGAGAAAATACGGAGCGTCCGAGAGAGAGAGAGAGAGAGAGAGAAAGACTTTTCCTTTACTTTTAATCGCAAACTTTTTAAAGAATTTGAACTTAATTATCGTTTGAAAGGGGGGGAAAGGTTCATGGGAAAACAATTTCATTTCCTTTAACGCTTGATATCTTCGTGATTAAATCATGGAAATGGAATTTTCTCTAAAAATCTCTTCAATATGGTGTATGATATAGTGATTTGTGGTCCATTAGATAAATGTTCATTGGACGCATTGTTGTTTCAATGCAAGCATGCGAATGAAAAAGATACTGATGTGATTGGATTGGTTATGCCGAAATCATTTGCCGAGCGACTACTGTTATATAACTAAGCTACATTCGGATATAATCCCACACACTGATAATCTTCCGCCCGCCTAATAGCACTGCATCCACAAAAGCGAGGAAGCTTTCCGAGTGCATTGATAATTACCGATGGATTCTTTGTAGTCCTGCAGCGGACGAGGCGGGTAGATTCCGGCGCGGTTAACGCGCGAAGCGGATAATGATGCGCGCCGATGAAGGGGACCCTCGCCGACAAGTTATATAAACATTTTACAACGGAACGAGCTCATTAAACGTCTATTCGTCGCAGTGAACCGAGTTCCTCAACAAATAACTAACAAAGTAATCTCGTGAATACGGCTGCGGCAGGCGCCGCGGAAAGTGAGGCGGAAAGTCCGATGATTACGGAACTTCGCGCTGGATAAGAAAAGTTTTCGCGCCTCCGCGTCGCCTCGGCGGCGGCGCGACACGATGCGCTCTATCAAGCCATATCCATTTACTCGCTCGCCTCTAAATTCCAACCGTCGCGCGATCGTGCCTCACGTGCAGTAACGCCGTGCATTCGAGAAGTCCGCTTCTCGCAAATGACAAATGATCCGGCAGAAAGGATACAATTGAACATGCAGCAAAATAAATAAAAAGGTTGTTACTACGGGTACGGGAACCGGTCTCGCGGGACTTAAATTTCGAGCGGATAACAACGCCCGCTGGCTGCACGAGACAAATCTGTCAGCCGAGTAGATACGAAGAAAAATAAGAAGAGAGAAACCGCCGAAACTTGGCCGCGCAAAAATGCAGCGAATTTTCGTTCGCCGCTTCCCTCTAGGGAACAACTAAAGCAGACTTTCCTCAAACTCCCGCTTTCTGGCTGATATGAGGGGAAACAACGGGAAGTAAACCGGAGGCGGGAAAATCCCGTCGGATTCCCGACGCGCCGATAGACTTTACACGTATTCGATTACCAAGTCGAAGGTATACCGAGAGAGTATCGGAGGAGCGTTCGTTTACTTTGGAGAGGCGCGGTCAGCGCGCGCGTTATAACTATGCTGTCGCATAAATAAACCATCCCGCGCTCTACTCCCCGTACTTTGCGCGGGGCTATACCAATCGCCTGCCCGCGTCCGGTCTCGATGCTTTAATTTTGTCTGGCAGCGTTCCACGTAAGCCGAGAGGCGAGCAGCCGGCTTTTCTCCCTTGCTGAAAGTTTCACGAACGCGAATCGACTGCCGAATGAGGACCGAACTTTTCAATTGAAACGGTCCGCGTGTCATTGTAGCTCCGGCTTTTCTTCCTTTCCTCCCATTGATCAGCCAACAATGCGCTAGGTACACGTTGCCACACTGCCGCCGTTTTCCTCCTCTTGTATCAATGATTCTTAGTCCTCCATCCCAGATCGTCACGATGCGATAAAGCGATGAGACACCACGGTCCAAATATAGAGGGAAGAAAATTGTCTATCAAATTCTTCTTTTACGACATACTAACTTGATTGATACTAAAAGCTATCAGATGCTGGAAAAAGTTGGAAATATCGTTCGATAAAATTTGTAAAATTAAAAGCGCAGTTCTAAAAGTTTTTCATTTATGAATATTTACGACGTTACGGTTGAGATGAGAGAGCAGTAAATTGAAGCTTCGCCTATCGCGGGGATGTGTCAAGTTTCGTTCTCCGCGAAGAAAGTATACGTCTTTTAAACTCCATTTAACAGAGGCTATAAAAGCAATTAATGATCATAAAGCGAAGCGACTAAACTTGTTCTCATAAAATTTATGATAATTATTAAATTATGATTGAGTGCTTCGTGGTGAATTGATTTCACTGTGCTTCAACAAGTGAACTCAGTGTATAAAACGTCATAGAAAAAAGATATTAACTTTTAGATATTAGCTCCAAATTAGCTTGAGAGAAAAAAAGATGCAGGGAGAATAAATGTCTTCGACAAACTGTCATATTATTTCAATAAATTGTTTTCTTAAATTAATTTAAAAAAAAATTCCACAAATTTCTTGAAATAATTATAGTTATAAATCGGATAAAAATTAGAGCTTACGCAAATCTTAAGGTTAATAAACATAAACTCGGTCAACAAACTCTATATATTCATAAAAATCGATATTCAATGAATATAAAATTGTTATTGTTAAACGTTAGCTCTCTAATATTATATCGGTGTAAAATTACCGATGTATTCAGACCGTTTCGCGGTTTTTGGATTGCGTTCAACAACAGAACGATACATTCTGAATAGCGTTTGATCGAGTGGAAAATAAAGCCGCGTTCTCCATATGCGCCGCCGGGATAATCAACGGGGAGATCCGTCGGGCGGGATGGACACGACCGACGGCGCCGTTCGCCCGTATACGCTTTTTTTTCTCTCCCTGCGAATTTCGCGACAGCTCTTCCTATAGTGCCAAAAACAAGCTTTTTTCCGCGCGTCGAGTGTATCCGGTGCGGCAGATGTCGCACCGCGGGGAATAACGCTCGACACACATGCAACGCGGCACGTTCTCTGTCGTCGTCGTCGTCGTCGTCGTCTATCCCGATTTCGCGCTACTACCCTGCTGCCGTGCGGTCGCAATCGCAAGATATTGTGGCGGCAGACGGGCAAACATTTGCGCGGCTCCCGCGAACGGCGCGGCGCGAGCGGCGCGGGCAATGCGCCGGCACGTAAAGCACTCCCGATGTTTGTCGACACTTCCCCGCCAAAAAGCGCGATACCTGTCGCGACATCGTCCCTTGACAGGTTCGTCAACGCGACGCGGCGGCGACGGTATCCCACTTACCCATCCCTGCCCCCCTCGAGTTTCCAGCCTTCCAGCGTTGGAAAGGGCTGTGTATATATACGCGCCCTCGAAGAGCGGAGATAGGTTTTCGGAGTTAACGTGTCAAGTGCAAGCATCGTGAACATTCTACTTCGGATAAGTGGAAGCTATCCGTGGGAAAGAGCCCGAGTGTCGTTTCCCTCTGCTAATGTCGTCTCCCGTCGTCTATACCCACCGATACACGGGACTGGACGGAATTTACTTGTTCCCGTTTGGCGATCCGTAAGTTTCCCTGACAGACTCGTTAAGACGGCTATTTTTCGACGTGGCAGTCGATAACTTTATACACGGCGTTTATACACGCGGATTTGTAGACGCTCGAAATACACGTTTCTCGTCTGACGGCGACGACGGCGTCAAACGCAGATATCCTTAAATGAGAATATTTCACATCGGGTAAGAATATATTATGCTCGAAGTTTCCGCGTTACATGTTTCCTCGTATTACGTTTACGCTTCCGTAAACGGCAGCTTAATCCCGCGTTCTAACATTTCGCAAAACGCACCGCTGTATCTACTTGTGCAGTCTATATTATACAATATTAGACCATTTCAATGCTAAGTCACTTCTGGCTTTAGACTGTAATGCTTAAACTAGTTCTATTGCCTACCGAGCTTTGCACGGTCGTAAACTACTTCCACTTACTTCAGTCAGTACTATACAATCCTAAATCACTTTGAACTCTCTTCAGTCGGAATTGTAAGTCCTTAAACTTTTATGCCTAGCAAGTGTATTACCACGTTTCTACTTTTAAATGTACACAATGTTTGCGAAATTACAATCGTTATAATTCCAAAAGTTCAAAACAGGAAATTATGTTAACTCTTTTGGCTAAAACTGATAGCTGAACGTGCCGAACTGTATCGTATAGTTCGGTCGTGGAATTTGACTGAAAAAAAAACGCGAACGTTTATTCTTTGATGAAACAAATTATTAATAACAAGTTATTATTAAAACAGAGAAAATTCTTGCTTGATAACAACAAAATAGGCATCGAGGCATAAAAGGGCTACTATAGTGATGTTTTTGTTCCAAAATATCGTTTCGCTTCAAAAGAACAGTTTAGCTTTCATGGAAAGTCATTAAAATAGCGCATAGCAGTCAAAATGTTAACAGAACAAATTGTATTTAAGTTTATTTTTTCTGCAATATCATCGGTAACCTAATAAATATCTAAAAAATATGAGTATAACATTAATATTTTTCATATATATAACTCAAAAGATATAGGCAACGATCGTATAGTTTAGAAAATAATTACAAATTGCAAGTTTGATTCTCATGAACAAACGTTTCGTAAACGAGATAACTCACGCCATCATATCACGTCGTCCGCATACCGCGGATCGGTGCAAAAAAAAAAGTTAGTTTACATATACTGCATACACCCGCCGATACATGTAGACTCCGCTTATAAAAATTCAACGTTGCTTCGAGTGGACATTTTCCAGTTTCACCAATGCGCGGCCACAGCGGCGTCATAAACGTCCGAGGGGGGCCGCAAAAAAGCAAAACCGCGAAAAAGAAAAGAAA